GCGCACGCAAGCAAAGCAAAACAAGGCATTCATTCACTACTTCCCATTGGCAGGCAGGTGTTCAGCCATCTCCAGGAAAGCAGGGATCCATCACGCATAATGGTTACTTGGGAAGACAACCATCGCTCCAAACATCCCCACCCCTCGGCCAGCTTTCCCCCAGCTTTATATGCTGAGCATGACGTCACATGGTATGGAATATCCCTTTGGCCAGTTTGGGTCAGCTGTCCTGGCTGTGCCCCCTCCCAGCTTCTTGTGCCCCTCCAGCCTTCTCAGTCGGTAGAGCATGGGGAGCTGAAAAGTCCTTGGCTGGTGTAAGCACTACTTAGCAACAACTAAAACATCGGTGTGTTATCAACATTGTTCTCATCCTAAATCCAAAACACAGCACTGTACCAGCTACTAGGAAGGAAATTAACTCTATCCCTGCAAAAACGAGGACAGATATCTAATACAGTGGTAGGATTTTTAGAGTATACCCTAGTAAAAGCAATGATAGAGTATATTTACATCAATTTTTCTTCAGTAAAAAGCTGTTTGAAGCGTGTCTTCCAATCCTAACTCAGATTATGCCTTCCACATTGCTTAAAATTAAAAACCTGCAGTGCTCCATAAAACTACTGCAAAATAAAATATTTCAGAAGTATCAAGTCTGGGGAGGAGGCGGGGGAAGAATTATCATAGGCTTTCCGTCCCACTCTACTGTTTTGTATTTTTTTTTATTATAGCTCTTGCCATAATTGTTAAATGAAAAGCATTTTTCAGTTACCTTATCTGAGCACTCCCTTTTTCGATTTGTGAAGTTACTTTTTCTGTATAGTCGATTAGATATTTCCAAGCCTCTTACTATAACAGCATATAACAGCCTGGTCAAAAAAATCAAGCAGTTTGAGACAGCTGCTTCGGAAAGCTCATAAACATGTTTTCACTGGAATTGCAAAGGCCTCTTGACAAGTGTCCAGAGAACTCAGCTGAGCACAGAGCTGGGGAGGGTGGGAGGGAAACAAGCTAAATGCTAGGAGTATTTAGCAGTTACAAAACAGTCCCAAAAACTTACACTACCTCAAAAGAACTTCAGGAAGATTTAGTCTTGTATCCAAGCATCAAAAGAGACAGTGTCACAGCCCTCTTGTGCAACGTGGTGGCTCTTAAAAGAGCCTTTAGGTACGGTGACAAAGGATCACGCAGGAGAGCCTCAGGCGCGCTCGCCGCGGATGCGGCGGGCCAGCTGGATGTCCTTGGGCATGATGGTGACGCGCTTGGCGTGGATGGCGCAGAGGTTGGTGTCCTCGAAGAGCCCCACCAGGTAGGCCTCGCTCGCCTCCTGCAGCGCCATCACGGCCGAGCTCTGGAAGCGCAGGTCGGTCTTGAAGTCCTGCGCGATCTCGCGCACCAGGCGCTGGAAGGGCAGCTTGCGGATCAGCAGCTCCGTCGACTTCTGGTAGCGCCGGATCTCGCGCAGCGCCACCGTGCCGGGCCGGTAGCG